TAGGCTATCAAAAAATGAGATTATGTTAATAGTAACAGCTATTGGGGGATAAAATATTCTTGCATCCATAGCAGGTCAAAAGAAAGCTATAGAGAACACCACTTCTTAAGTATAGGATTTGGAGACCAAGTGGTTGAACTCAATTGAATAGAGCTATGAATGGATTTACTTGTAGTTAACACTGAGGATGCCTTGAACTGAACATCTATCATTAAAACAGACAAAGGAAATTTGTCACCCAATATGGTTGATAATAGACAAAGTTCATCTTCTCCATATCTTCACACATACATAGAGAGTGCCATTGTCTCAGGTTCTGGCTGTGTGAATTTGCTTTGTATTCTCTTGTTTAATGGGCCACTATGAGCAATTTTGTCAGTTAAACCTTCCTTCCCTTTTCACATTATCAGTTCACTACTTCTTACCTCAAAGGGTAAGAATTAAATAATATACTTCACGATGTACTTGGCTCATACAAGTTAAAACTAGTTACCATCAGTAGATTTCAAATTATGCCAACCTCATGTATACCAAAGGTTTGCGATGACTAATTTTTCACAAGTAGATCACCAGATCTGGCTTCCCAGACACCTCTGGTTGACTCAAACCTCCAATCTTTTGGTTAGTAGCTGAGCATAATTATTGTCGTTAGAAACAAAACACAGATGTAAGGAAAGGTATGCTTCTATGCTGAGTGCCCAAAGATCTTCCTGCAGTGGCATGCTTCCACCAAACATGTTGACATTCTATTGTTGGAATGAATGACCTTTGTAAGTCTCAAGCAGAACCTATGTCTGATACATTCATTATTAGGTTCTGACACAGGTTTTTTCACTGGTCTGTACAGATATCAGAAAAGTTGCTAAACACATTGAGATGCTACCAAAAAAAAAAAAAAAAAAGGTACAGAATCAATGTTGTTGTTATTTGCTGCTGAGTTACCACTGACAAATGCAGACGCCACGTACACCACAATGAAATGTTGTCCTGAGTCATCTTCATGATTGTTAGTATTCTGGAGTACATTGTTGTGTCCACTATGTATTATGAGTACTTTACAAACTAGGGGCTTATCTTCCAGCACTATGTTGTTGTTGTGTACCATCAAGTCAATTTTAACTCAGTCACACAATAGGACAGAAATAAAACTGCCATATAAGGTTTCCTACTCTGTAATATGGGAGCTCTGATAGCATAGTGGCTAAGGCACTTGACTGCTAACCAGAAGGCTGGCGGTTCAAACCCACCAGCCACTCCTCAGAAGGAAGGTTGGGAAATCCTACTTCCGTAGTGATACTGCCTCAGAAACCCAAGGAGGGGTCGCTATGAGT